CAGACCGTGACGGGCGAATCCACTCTCTGCACGTTGCTCTCCTCCACCAGGATCTCCCTGCAACCAAAACCACAACAAAACCCCATCAATCGCTCCATTAACGCCCTAATTAACCAATTAACGAGCTAATTAATGGATTAATTAATGATTAATTACCGGGCCTTGGCGCACAGGGCCTTGACCTCGCTCTCCTTGATGAGCTCGCAGCGTCTCAGTTGCTCGATCTGTCGGTCCAGGTCACTCAGCTCCCCCATGGCCGCCCCAATTAACCCCTAATTAATTCATTAGGACCCTCGTTAATTGATGGACCAGATCCTGGGACTAATTAACCCGTGCCAGAGGTAATTAATGAGCCCTGGGGGTAATTAAGCCTCGATTTCTCATTAATAATTAAGGGAAAAGTAGATTGGAAAGGGTTAAAACCCTCCTGGATGGGTTAATTAATCCTTTAATTAATTAATTAGCAACCTCAGCAATTGATGAACCTGATCCTGGGACTAATTAACCCGTGCCAGAGGTAATTAATGAGCCCTGGGGGTAATTAATTATCAATTTCTCATTAATAATTAAGGGAAAAGTGGATTGGAAGGGGTTAAAACCCTCCTGGATGGGTTAATTAATCCTTTAATTAATTAATTAAGACCCTCATTAATTGCTTGACTTGATCCTGAGGGTAATTAAGCCCTGCCAGGGGTTATTAATGAGCCCTGGGTCATTAATTAAGCCCCAATTTCCCATTCAAAAGTGGTTTTGAAGGGCTTAAAACCCTCCTGGATGGGTTAATTATTCCCTTAATTAATTAGTCAGCACCCTAATTAATTGATTAACCTGGTCGTGGAACTAATTAACCCATTCCAGGGGTAATTAATGAGCCCCGGGTAATTAATTAAGTCTCAATTTCTCATTAAAAAAANATCCCAGGTGTATCCCAGGTGTGCCCAGGTGTCCCCAGGTGTATCCCAGGTGTACCCAGGTGTATCCCAGGTGTGCCCAGGAGTCCCCAGGTGTCCCCAGGTGTGCCCAGGTGTATCCCAGGTGTCCCCAGGTGTGCCCAGGTGTATCCCAGGTGTATCCCAGGTGTACCCAGGTGTATCCCAGGTGTGCCCAGGAGTCCCCAGGTGTCCCCAGGTGTGCCCAGGTGTATCCCAGGTGTATCCCAGGTGTGTCCAGGAGTCCCCAGGTGTGCCCAGGTGTATCCCAGGTGTGCCCAGGTGTGCCCAGGTGTGCCCAGCTGTCCCCAGGTGTCCCCAGGTGTATCCCAGGTGTCCCCAGGTGTATCCCAGGTGTATCCCAGGTGTCCCCAGGTGTATCCCAGGTGTCCCAGGTGTGCCCAGGTGTCCCCAGGTGTATCCCAGGTGTGCCCAGGTGTGCCCAGGTGTATCCCAGGTGTGCCCAGGTGTGTCCAGGTGTGTCTCTCACCCTGAAGAGCTCCTTGAGGTCGTAGAATTGTCCGTGGATGTCCCCGCACACCTGGGGGGGCAAAGACACCAAACGTCCCCAAAAATGGCCCCAAAAATGGCCCCAAAAATGGCCCCAAAAATATCCCAAAAATTTCCAAAAAATCACCCAAATTATCCCAAAAATGGCCCCAAAATTTCCCCAAAATTTCCCAAAAAATATCCCAAAAATCACCCAAAATGTCCCAAAAATATCCCCAAAATTACCCCAAAAATGGCCCCAAAATTTCCAAAAAATCACCCAAATTGTCCCAAAATTTTCCCCAAAATATCCCAAAAATTACCCCCAAAATCCCCCAAAATATCCCCAAATTATCCCAAAAATTACCCCAAAAATGTCCCCAAAAAATCCCAAAAATGGCCCAAATTATCCCAAAAATTGCCCAAAATATCCCCAAAAAATCACCCAAAATGTCACAAAAAATCCCCAAAAAATCCCCAAAAATCCCCAAAAAAATAAAAGAAAAAAAATTAAAAATCCTCTAAAAATCAAAAAAATCCCAAATTTTTCCCAAAAATTCCCCAAAAATTCCCCCCAAAAAAATCCCCAAAAAATCTCAAAAATTCCCCAAAAATTCCCCCAAAAATGCCAAAAAATCCACAAAAAATTCCAAAAAATTCCCAAAAAAAATCCCAAAATAAATCCCAAAAAATAAAAAAAAAATCCCTAAAAAAATTCCAAAAATTCTGCCAAAAAATCCCCAAACAATCCTGAAAAAAATCCCAAAAAAATCCTCAAAAAATCAAAAAAAAATCCCAAAAAATAAAAAAAAATCCTTAAAAAACCCTAAAAAATCCCCAAAAAA